TACATAAATGACTGAATTACAAGTTAAATAAGTCTTTTTTTTTCAATTTCATTTAATATTACATACAATAAGATAAAGATAAATTAATAATTTGACTAAATATACAACTATACCATCCTATCAATTAAAATAAAACAACTTTTATTATCATATAATATACACAATTTTTGCAAATGTAGTATAATTATATCATTATCATCCTGTGCAATTAATATACATTACCGTAGATTAGTTACCCACCACAAAAATCATCCAAATAAAGCATAAGAGTGCATAAATATGCATGTGTGTACTAGGTTAATGATGTTTTCTTTTTTTATTTATTGTGTAAAGAGTATTCGTGGATGTCATTTTATCCAAGGTATAAATACATTGTTATTGTTTATTCAGAGCATCTAAAATTCATTTTCTTAAAACCTTATCCGGGTTTCTTCCATTAAATAGTTCCCGTCTCTCTTTCAATTTATCTTTTTGCTTGTATTTTTTGTATTTTTTTTACAGATCTCAATAAATTGAGTATGAGAATAGCTTTTCAGGTATTTTTTACATGATATCAAAGTAGATATTGAGAATAACAAATCAAACCATAAGACTTCTCAATAAAGTCTACTATATTTGAATTGTAAATCATTCAAATTCGAAGAGTCCTTACCACATTAGCACAAATAAGAGCTCCAACAAAATACTCGTCAATTAGCTACTGGAGGCAAACAATTATTACATATAGATGAAACCTATAAAGTGTGTTCTGCAATTAATCCGACTAATTCACTCACATAATATTAGTTACTATATAAAAAATTATTATTTAGATTATTTTATATCTGATCATATTATTTGTTAAATTTGTACATCTGTAATTACAGTCATTAACATAAATTGATTTAATAGAGTTATTTATGTGAGTATGATGAAAAATTTTATATTATTAATAAAAGATATTCTATAAAAAAAAATGTCAATATTACTTAGCATAAAAATAAAAATAGCTGAATCTATAAGTAAATACTAAGTCCATAATTGGATATATTTTTATTAATTATTTTAATTTCACCCAATTTAGACTTGCCCTCCCTCAACATAAATTACTTTGTCATTCTTTTGTTTCTAACTCTATTCGTATTGTATTAAAAGGACAGTGATCATTGTATTTACTAATATGTTAATTATCCTATTAATTATAATTTATATATTTAATGTATAATTCAATTATCATAAAATTTGGATTATCAGGTTTTTAAAAGAATGAATTGTATAAAATCTTAACTTGAACTGGATCAAAATTATAATTTGAAATTGAAATGTTAATTTATTTCCAAATTTGATCACAATTACTATATCATATTTTTGGTCATATTTTCTAAAATTAACATTTGAATGATGGAGATATATACTTTTTTTTAAAAAAAAAAAAGAAATGAAAATATATATTACAAAAAGACACTCTTATTTTTCTTTTCAAACAATTCCAAAAATCCTCTCTTAATAATTCCTCCTAATGGAGTCTGTACTCTGCGGTCAGTACCCAACCCAAAATGCAAGCCTCCTTCCATCCAAATAAATAACCCAGGAAAAACAAACCTTCAAAGCCCCTGCGAAACCTCTCCCGCCATGAACATTCTCTCTATCGTCTCAACTCCACCTGCCTTTTTCGCAGTCAAGTATTCCTTGCTTTCTCAGCACAGCAACTTCCAGTCTACTGGGTTTTGTTTCCCCAGGTCGTCTCTGTTTCATTCACTCCAATTTAACAGAAGAACCTATTTCAAGCATCCAAGCTCCATCTTCCCGGCGGAGGCCCAACTCTCCGGTGCTGACGAAGAAGATGAGGAAGAAGAAGATGAAAATGAGGATGAGGATGACGACGATGAAGAAGCTGCTGACGAGTATGACATTTCCGGCGAAATCTCGGACGATATTCCACAAAGCGAAGACGAAACTGAGTTATCGGAGGACTCGACTCAGCGCGAGGAGTTCAAGTGGCAGAGAGTGGAGAAGCTATGTGACCTTGTCAAGAATTTCGGTGAGGAAATGATTGACGCTAATGAACTGGCTTCCCTTTATGCTTTTCGCATCGACAAGTTTCAGGTATTGTAATATGCATTTATCTAATCTATTCATTCCATTGGATACTGAGTAAGTAGAAAATTCATTAAACTTGGTTTCTGTTTTTGGAATTAGCGATTGGCGATAGAGGCGTTTTTGAGAGGCTCATCGGTTGTAGTCTCTGCGCCAACAAGCAGTGGAAAGACATTGATAGCTGAAGCTGCAGCGGCGGCAACAGTTGCTAGAGGTCGACGATTATTCTATACGACACCGCTTAAGGCACTATCCAATCAAAAGCTTCGGGAGTTTCGGTATTAGTTCCTTTTAGTCAAAGAAGTACAAAAATTTTTTTTTTTTGTTGAGAATTTACATTTTATTGCTTGCGGATAACTTTTCTTTTAGAGAAAGTTCAAATTTATATATGGCAGCTGATAATACAAAGGAAAGACAGGAATTTTGATTGTTTGGTGCTTACACCATTTTTTAGGGAGACATTTGGTGATGATAACGTTGGTCTTCTCACGGGAGACAGTGCAATCAACAAGGATGCTCAGATTGTGATTATGACCACCGAGATTTTGCGCAATATGTTGTATCAGAGGTATGCTAGTGTATGATTTCAAAAACTGATGACAGCAGTTGGAGCAACAAATCTTAGTTAATTGACATGGCCAGGGTTGTTTTTGGAGGAAATGAACATGTAAGAAAGAGGCCCGAATTTCAGTTTTAAATAAAATTTACCATACTACCAAGGAATTTTATTTTGTATAAGATGCTATTATAGCTATAGATGTCTGTAACATTGAAGTGACAGAAAATAAAGACTGATAGTTAGATTAATTATTTTGATACCAATGATGAAATATTGTGTCCCAGCATAGAGCTATAAAACAACAAATGTTTCTTTCATAATATGCTATTTTATATCAAGATATTCTTATCTCTCTTTCATTTCATTTTCCTTTTCCAATTGTATCTTAAGTTGATTGTCATGATTAAGAATCATGGTATACTGTGTTTTTTCCCATGCAGTGTTGGAACTGTTTCATCTGGGACTGGCCTTTTTCATGTTGATGTGATTGTTTTGGATGAAGTTCATTATTTAAGTGACATATCTCGGGGAACTGTTTGGGAGGAGATAGTAAGTATATTCGAAGGATCTCAATATTATTATCCATTTCATCTTGATTATATTTTAAGTACATCCATCTAAATTTTCAAATACGTTCAGGTTATTTATTGCCCAAAGGAAGTGCAGCTTATTTGTCTTTCGGCAACAGTTGCAAATCCAGATGAGTTAGCTGGTTGGATTGGTCAGGTATTGTTGTTGGTTATATTGTCTATCCTCAGCCATTCTTCTAATTATCTCACACATCTGTACATGTCATAATTTTGTTGCTTCATAAATGGTAGTTTGCAATGAAAAGCAATGCTGCTTTTAAATTTGATATTAGTACAGGAAAGCAAATCGGTCCAAGCCTTATTAGGTTTCCATTTTTAACCCATTTTCTGCTGGTAAGAATTTACCATAATGGTATTTTAGAATAATCATTCACTAACCCTCATCCTGGGTCTTGCATTCTCCTAGTTGCTAGTAGACTCGTTTGGGCTTAAGTTGGCATCTATTAAATACTATAATTTTATTATATGTTGAGGGGAAATTATACATGACTACTTATAGGAACCCCTGGCAGTTGCATAAGGATCTGACTTATATTGGGAAATATAGAGAAAATTATTCTCTTATACTCTAATATCCCTCCTCAAGCAAGCACACATACCGTATGCAAAGCTTGTTGCTAGTAAACTGAATGTGAGTTCTCCTAAAGATTTTGTTAAAGATTATACGAGTATATGAGCTAGCCAGTTTGTAGACTTTACACCTATAGTCCTAATCACATTGTGTAGAGCTTTTCTCATGTA